GTTGGTTATCCATTTTTTTTCACCATTTACTATATAATATTCCCCATCATCAGTTAATTTTGCCTCGGTTTTAAGATTTGCAACATCCGATCCTGCATATGGCTCTGTAATAGCAAGACAAATTACTTTTTCTCCACTAAGACATGCTGGGGCAACCCTCTTACTAAGTTCAACGGTTCCGAATTTTAAGATTGGCGGAAGTCCGATAGTTAAACCTTATTTATTATATAAATAATTAATTAATCATGTAAATGTGTATGTATAATGAGTGTGTGTGTGTATATATATATATATATATGTGAGTGAATTAATTAAAATTTGTTACTGTTTATTTTTAATTCCACCACTATAATAATTAACACGAAACAAAAACTTACCACCAGTTAGACCCCATGATACACCACCTGATCCACAACGAGACAGTTCGTCACAAACAACAAATTCTGTAAAATGATCAAATTCTTCAGGTTTAATCCCTGCGACAGGTACAATGTCAGTGTATCTAATAATGTTGTGGTATTATTATTATTATTTATAAAAATCACATATAAAATTAATTTGATCAAATAATTCATCATATATTTATAAATAATACATACTCTTTTGGCCATGGAGCTCCTACAAAAGCAGGCAAAATACCCAACTGGCCAGCTCTTAAAAACACTTCTCTAGGAATGTGCTTGGCTTCATCCCATTCATATGTATAGGGCATAATTTCAGTTTCAACAAATTTTCTTACAGCAGCTCGTACACGACGATGACTATCATTATAATACGGACTATAGAAATCTTGATACCAATATGGATCACCAAAGGGTACAAGATCACCAAAGGGTCCTTCACCTGATGATGGTTCATGAGCTGTTTCTTCAGTTTGTCCAGAACCGATTTCGCCAATAAGTAATTGGGAAGAATATTTTTCTAGCGTGGCTAAGGTATGGAAATTATCAAATTGTTTCGTGGCATCTGTACCAGCCACCTTCATTAAAACCTTTTGACCACCTGGATGTTCATTAAGAAAGTTTGTAACATCAAAAACTTTATCGTGGACTATAATCCAAATTGAACTTTCATTATTATGTTGAGCAACTTCTTCAACTGTAAAAGATTTTGTCATTTTTTTATATTTTATTGTTTTTTTTACAAAAAAAAAACTTTTTATGTATACATATATATATAATTTTTGTATTTATGATGATAAATCTTGCATTTTTGTAGGGTTTTTATTCGTAATACAAATTCTTTTTCCGAATTATTCGTAATACCTCCATGCAATCAATCAATTAAGATTAGTAATATTAATTCGAATTATTATTATTATAATTTATTCGTTTTTATAAATATAGCTCTTTAACAAGATAATATATAAGTCACAATAATTATATTTATAATCTACATTACCATTATTACTATGGTTGCTAGTATTATGACTTAAGAAAAGAAAAGAAAAGTGCCAGCTGCTATTATTATTATCATCATTGTGTACAAGTATTAAGGAAAAATAGATTGATAAAAATTTTTATATTTGGATTAGCAATGTGCATATCTATTTTATTTATTATTATGTTCTTCGAATACTCAAATTCACAACGAATAAAACGAACAATTCGAATAAAGTCTATTTGAATAGAAACTTACATGCTTGTATTTATGATGATAATAGTAATGGAAAATGAATTTTTACGTACAGTCAAACCTTGTCGCAGCAAATCTCGGACTTGCTTGTACTTGTACTTGTCATAGTCATAACGGATTTTTAAAATTTTTTGTTAATACTAAACATATAAAAATTCGTTGTTATTGTAGTAATCTTGCCACAACGATTTTAAATATATGTCCCGTTTATCCGCTGTGATAAGGTTTGACTGTGAGTGGAAAAAATTTTATAAATATTGGGATTGTACTAAAAAACCGTACTCATTGCAAGGAGTAAACATACTTGATGTAAGGAGTAAACGTGCTTGATGCAAGATGTCAATGTGCTCGATGTAAGAAGAAACGTAATTGTTACAATGAAGGACATTTTTCCGGTAGGCTTACCCTATTGCTACAGCCGGCCTTGATATAGTGAACCTACTATATAGTAAAATCGTACGATATATAAATTCTGCTCGATATAGTAAAGTTTTTGTCGATCATATTTAATTGTAATTTTGAATTTAGTAAGTTGTCGCAAAAAAAATTTTTTCATGAATATTATTAACATTATTAATATGAATTTGGTAATTTGCCGCAAAAAATTTTTTAAAAGTATTATTGCATGAGACTGAATAATTAAATTTAGTAATAGAAAAATAAAGTAATTGAACTTAGTAATATCTTGCGAAAAATAAAGTAACTGAATTTAGTAATATCTTGCAAAAAAATAAATTGAGGTTAGTAATATCTTGAAAAAAAATAAAGTAATTTGAATTTAGTAATGTCTCGCAAATTTGGTAATGTCTCGCAAAAAGTTTAAAAATAATTTTCTTGTAATTATTTACTGAATTTTTCTTATAAATAAAAGAACTAGGAATGTACTTTTTGTTTATAATAATTTATTGAAAAATCATTTCAGCTAAATTTATTTAATAAAAAATAAAAATGTCACCAATTGATCGATCCAACAAAAAAAGAAAAGTTTGACTTGGGGCGAAAAAAAAACACTTTGTGAATTCAATGAAAGAAATCCATCATTCACATATAAAGAACTTGGCCAAAAATTTGGAATTGCAGAACCTAATGTTTGCAAGATTTTAAAAATAAATGGTTATTTATCAACCCTGGGATACCAAAAGATAAAAAGATAAAGTTGCAAAGTATCCTGATCTTGAAAGTGCATTGATGATATGGTTCAATCAAGCAATTCAGATAAAAGAGTAATTACAGGTGATATAATGCTAAAAGATTTGCCGAATTATTAATATCAATGATTTTAAAGGTTCAGATGGTTGGGTCTCGAATTTTAAGAAAAGAAATAATATAAAGCATTATGCACCTTCTGAAGAAAGAAGAAGATTACAAGAAATAATCAAAGAACTTCCTTTAGAAGATTTTTGTAATTGTGACAAAACTGGTAAAATAATTCAGTATTTATTTTATTAGGCTTGCTCTGAGATTTAGAACCTTCAAAGTCATTATCAACTGGCCCTCTTTCTGTCATTAAAAAAAAATTAACCTTTTTACTGGACCATAAATGCAACAGGAACCAAAAAATTTCCTCTTTTATTATTTATTCATAAGTATCAAACACCAAGAGACATGCTTGGAGTTGACAAATCAAAGCTTCCAGTTGATTACTATTGGAACACAAAAGCCTGGATGCGGTTTCTATTTGGAATCAATATTTAATAAAGTTGAACCAGAAAATGGCCAAGGAAAATAAAAATATTTTATTGTTGTTTGATAATGCACTAGTACACACACATTCTTGATCAAAAAACCATTTTAACAAATGTCATGCTCATCATCTTCCTCCTAACAAAACTGCCCATCTACAACCTGCTGATGCAGGAATTATAAATTCCTTCAAAGTAAAGTATTATAAATGATAAATATTTATTTTAACTATTGTGAGATCGAATTATTTTAAGATGTGATTGAATGCTCCTTGGTATTTGTAACCTCAATACTTGATTTATAGTAATGTTTGATTTATACAGCTGTGGCCGAATGCTCCTTGGTAGTTTTACTCTAAATTGCAATTGTTTTTCTTATGTGTATGATATTAGTAGCAATTGGTCTATTAATCTGTGTGGGAGCAAGTTTTACTTCTCTGTTTTCTCGGCAGTTCTTTGTTATCTGCCTGAGCCGGCACGTTTCAAGATATTTGCCTTCCTAAATATCCGCCTTGGCTCTTTAGGTCTATTTATTACTTAGCCGCGATCGGCTGGGCATTGTTCTTTTATGTTTAGGTTCAGTGTCTGGACTGACCGCATCTAGCTAGGGTTTGCTCTTCTTAGGCGTCGGCCTAAATAAAAATAAAGAATATAAAATTAAAAGAAATATATACAACTATACTTATCAAAGGCGTCCTCTGGCAAGATAGTAAAATAATGATAATATAGTGTCGAATATAAAATGAGAGAATATGGTTAAACATGGGATTAGTATGTATTCATTGTTAGGTTATAGATTTATTATCATTACGAAAATATAATATTCGAAGACAACAGGGACAAGGTCAAAGACAAGGTCAGTGTTAAGGTTAAGGACAGTGTTATTTATTATAATGATTAAAAGATGATGATATTGGTGATACATGAATTACAACGTTATTTATACATATTAAAGGTTCTATCATTCCGATTTCTTTGAAATCCTAATTAAATATATTACTTGAACCTTCTGTGTAGAATTATTTTCTAAAGTGATCCAATCATTTAAATTCCTTCGCTTAAATTAAATCTAAGAATTAAAGGTCGTTGTTTGAGATATTTTCCGTGAGTCAACTATTTTATTGGTGATTGAATAAAAATATGAAATTGGACTGGTTTGAATACTTGATCAGTTTTTCCGATTTTATTTGCGTAAATCATTTCCGATTTATTTATTGATATAATAATAAATAATAATAATAATAATATTACTCCGAATTTTCGGGGTCGTTGATCAGCGAATTAAGGTCAAATTCGCATTCCGGTGACAATATTAAGTATTTCGTTGGTAACAAGTTTCAACTTGTTATAAACAATAAAGAAATTGATTTATTGTCATGTTTTTTGTAATGATAATGAATTGTCTTATTTGTTTTTTTTTTCACATGAAACTTTTGTTTTTTTTTCTACCTGGTTTTTTTTTGTTACAATCTATCCTACAACTCCCAATTAGGGATAATAATTTTAAAAATTAGTTCAATCTCTGCATCTTCATCCAAAAAAAAAGTGTCTTTAAGTGCTTCACAAAAAAAAAGAATTGTGTAAGCATGCTAAAAATGACCCCAGTTTAACTCAAGATTATTTAACTAAAGATTTTAAAATTGGTCAAAGCACAGTTTCAGGAATTTTATCAGAATCAAATAAATGCTCTTTATTGATGAAATTCATACAACTTCCCAATTTAAAAAAAACAGGCAAGCAAATTGGCCACAATTAGAAGAAGCTCTAGCACTTTGGTTTGATCAGGATATAAAACATAATCTTACAATTTCAGGAGATATTCTTAAAACAAAAGCTCAAGCACTAGCTAAACTTATAAATATAAATGATTTTAAAGGTAGTGATGGGTGGCTCTCTCATTTTAAACATCAACATCATATTTATTCAGTAACTAATCAAGGTGAGTTAGCATCTGCTCCACTTGAATTGTTACCACAATATCGTGAAGAACTTCAAGGAATTCTGAAAGATTATGACCCTAATGATATTTACAATTGTGATGAGACTGCGCTCTTCTGGCAACTTGAACCATCAAAAACTTTAGCTCGTGGTGAAACCTCCGGTACAAAGCAATCCAAGGAGAGAGTTTCTATCATGTTGTCTTGTAATTCTAAAGATGAAAAACTTAAAATGATTATGTTAATTATGAAGATGGTGAAGATAGTATTGAATTAGAGTTGCAAAATATTATAAATGAATATTATAGAGAATCACAACCAGTTGAGGACTATATTAATCACGAATCCAAGTATGAATGCCTTCATTAGAAGAAGTTGTTGCTGTTTTAAATAAAGAAGAAGAAGAAGAGGGAGAAGGAGGAGAAGGAGAGAATATTATTTGCATTAACACTCAGGATGCACTACAAAGTTGTGAAAACCTTCTTATTTATATACATCAAGAAGAACAAGGGTTTGTAGTGGAGGGTATATGTTAGATAGTTTACAAGAATTAAAAAAAAAAATTAATAAGTCTGAAATTTTAAAATTTATTGTGAATCACATGATAATGTTTCTGCATGATTTTTATATGAACTCCCGTTATAACAACAATCCCATTATACTGACATTTTTTGCTTGTCCCATGAGTGTCCTTATAACAGGAGCGACTTGTATAGGAACCAATTGACAAATAGTTTTACTATAACCATTTAATTCCTTTCTGGAAAATGAATTTAACTGCAAATTATATCCATCAGTCCAAATTGTAGACTTAAACCAGAAATTCCATCTAGTTTTAACTAATTTCATTCTCAAACTGAGAAATAAATGAATCCATTTCTTTTCTTGCTACACTACATGTAAATAAAGCTTTAATATTTCCTACTAACAGACTAAAGTTTTCATATCCAATCCATGTCTCTTGTACTAAATTTAATATATGAGTGATAAACTTTTAACATATATGCAAGCATTATCTAAAATAAAAAGTATAGTAGGCATATCAAATGAACTATTTTATTAACTATCTCAAGGTGCACCATTGCAAAGTATGCAGTCGCATACGTGATGCAAAAAAATTTAGGGTCATGCACAAGCCACTCTAGTGGGAAAGTTACTATTTCTTTTAGATGTAATTTATTTATTTATTTAATTTAAATTTCTAATTGCTTTATATTCTTCTTCATTAATACAATGCTTTAAATCATATTTTGGATTATCTGGATTTGGTTTGATAATTGCAATATATCCCTCTGTCATTGGCTTGAAGTCAAAAAATATTAATTAATTATTTATTTATTTTAATTATAAATTATAAGATTTTGCCTTCAATTTACCTTTTCAATTAATAAATTTGGTTCATTTTCAAGTCTCATATTATAAGTAATTAAAGATCCATCAATCACAGAATATATCCTGATTATTTTTTCATAATCTTCAAGATCTTCAACATTTTCATCCTTTCCAACATCTTTACTATCTTTATTATTATTTTGTATTATAATTTTGCAAATTTCTGAATCTTTACGAATAAATTTATTTTTTTTATTTTCATTAATTGATTTAATAATCCTAAATGTCTTGTTATTTATTGATGATGTTGATAATATTGATAATAAATTATTAGTAGTTGCTAAACCAATAACACACAATCTATTATTATATGTCTATTTAGTAGGATTTTTTAATAGTAAAAATGTTAAATTAAAAAAATTAGCTAATAATAAATAATTACTTATTTGGTGCTTGATAAATATAACAATCTTCATTCTCTTCATCATTCTTTTCATCATTATTTATTATATAATAATATTTTTTATAATAATTATTTAAATACTCATCTTTATTAACTAAACATTTCTCACTTTTATCTTTATATTTAACAATATCATAATCAACCACAAAGCAATTTTCTTCTTCTTTTTCTATATTCATTCTCTAAAAACCAATTGTTTTTTTGTTAAAGAGGTGGATTTAGAAATTTCGTGTGACATTCAAAAAATTTGATCTAAAAAAATTTGATAAATTTATTTTTTAATAATGGCAAAAAGAGTAAGTTATTTTTGAGTGAATGTAACAACAATTTTTATTTGCTAGTCATTCATTATATTGATTGTTTCAATGAATAGAGGAAAAAGAGAACACATATCCGCCCTGAAGAAGCCGCTAGTAGTATTAATCCTAATGCACCCAAGATACCCAAATGTTTTGTATTTAAAGCAGGGAAAGTTTGTAGGCCTGTTGGAACATTAGTAAAAGATATGCGTAAAGTAATGGAACCAAATACTGCCATTAGATTAAAGGTATTATATACATAAACTTATAATAGCTTGATTGATTATTCGATCAATTAATCAACTAAATCCATCAATTTGTTTACATTCCTTCCTTCCTCCATTTATTCATTTTTTTGCTTAACAGGAACGTAAAAACAACAAAATAAAAGATTTTGTAAACGTGTCAGGTCATTTGGGAGTAACACAATTTCTGATCTTTACGCAAACAGAAAATGGTACTAATTTTAGGTTGGCAAGAGTGCCAAGAGGACCTACATTATGTTTCAAAGTTCACAAGTATTCCTTAATAAAAGATGTTTTCTCGTCACAGATCAATCCTAAAGCTTATGGATTAGAATACAATTCTTCACCATTGGTAAGCGAATATGAGTGTGAATATGAGTGGTGGTGTAAATGGATAGATAGGTTTACGTTCACACACATATACATCTGTGAAAATACTTTATTTATTTATTTCAAAAAAAAATTTTTTCAACTCATCATTCTAATTAATTATTTTATTTCATTTTAAATTGATTTGCAAAGCTTGTATTAAATAATTTTAATGAAGAAAATAGACACATGAAATTAATGATAACCATGCTTCAAAATATGTTTCCCTCAATTAATATCAACAAGGTAAAATAAAACACAAATAAAAATCTATTTATTAATATGTTACTTTCACACATTCTTACTCATATATATTTATAGATACAATTATCAGATGCACGCAGAGTGGTATTGTTTAGTTATAATTCAGAAACAAAAAATATTGATTTTCGACATTATTTAATTGGATTGAAGCCAGTTGGTATTAGTAAAGGTATTCGTAAAGTCATGACAACATCAAATCTTCCTGATTTGCACAAGTATAATGATATAAGCGACTTTATATTAAAGTATGTATAAGATGTTTATAGATAAATATAGTTATATTCATAGAGATACACATGCCTTCTTATCCTTGCACTTACTCATCAATTAATTCTAGGAATGATGGGCGTATATCAGAGAGTGAGAAGGAAGAGAGTGGAGTGGAGGAGAGTTCAGTGACACTAGCACAAGATTATATTGGTAGGAATAATAAAAAAGCTGATAGAAGAGCAATTAAATTGACAGAGATTGGACCTAGGATGGAATTACAACTAATTAAAATACAAAATGGATTATGTGATGGAGAAGTTTTGTTTCATGAATTTTGTATGTTAATTTATTGTTTCCAATTTCATTAGTGAATTATTCAATAAATTTACATGATATATATATTATACATACATAGTGCATAAAACTCCACAAGAAATCAAAATGATGGAGAAAGAAAGAGAAAGGCGTAAACAATTAAAAGCTACAAGAAGAAAAGAACAAGAAAAAAATGTTGAAAGAAATAAATTAGAAAAGGAAGCCCATAGATTAGCAACAAGTGGATCAACAGCTAAAGGTGTGACAAATATATATTTTATATAATTTTAATTTGTAATTTAATTAATATATTTTTGAATTAGGAAAACAAAAAGAAATATCAAAGGATAAAAATAATTATGAAGTAGTACCAAAAGAATATAGTGGTAATTATCAAGATGGTGACAGTTCAACTGATGATAATGATGATGATGGTGATGGTGATGATGGTGATGATTTAGATAAAGATTTTTCAGATATAGAAGATGATAATAATCATAATAGCTCATTTAATAAAACTATTGATAACATGGATAAATATATTGATGGCAATGACAACAATGATGATGATAGTGAAGATAGTGAAGAAGAAGAAGAAGAAGAAGATGATGATGATGATGATGATAGTGAGGAGGAAGAAGATAAATTTCCAATTAAAAAAAGAAGAAGAAATGATAATGATAATAAGAATAGTAGAAATGATAATAATAATAGAAATGGTATTAATAAGAAGAATAATAATAATAGAAATAGTAAGATTAAGAATATAAATCATAAGAATAATATAAATAATAAGAAAGATATAAATAATAAGAATAATAGAAATAATAAGACAAAGAAATTCAAAAAAATAAAACCTAAAATGTCAATGAAATTTAAAATGAAAACCAGTAACAGAAATAATAAAAGGAAACGTTAAAAATTTTGTTTCATGAGAAAATATTTATATTTATTTAGTTAATTAATTGCATTGACTTCTAACATTACCATTATTCTTTTCACCAAAATTTAGTGGTTGTATCCGCCGATTATTCTGTTAGTTGGGAATAATTTGTGGTACAGAATATTAATATTAATAAAATTTTATCCCGCGTAATTAATGAAATCCTATTTTATCCATTAATACACTATCATCAACAATTTTTCTATTATAATAATATAATATATCAAGTAATGTGAATACCCAACTGTGTCATTATTATTAGTTAAAAATATTTATGCATTGCAGCAACTTCTACTCTAAGTGAGCGTCTATTTAATGAAGCTGGAAACACAATGACAGCCAAACGAACAAAATTGAATCCATTGTTATTTGAAAGGATTGTATTTCTTAAAGCAATATGCAATGTATTGAAAATATTTTTCCTGATGAATAATTAATTGTTATATTTTTTGTATTAGATTTTAAATAAATTTAAATCAATGAATATTCGGCAGATATTCGGTGAATGACCAATTATCAGAATGTTGAATTTTATTGACTGACCAATTATCCGGGTGTTGAGCTTTATTGATTGATCAAGTATTCAAACACCCGGATACAACCATTACCAAAAATTTTACAACTTATATATGCAACTTTTTGTGTAAAAGTTGACAATTAGCAGTTTTTATCATATTTTTGCACCGCCGATCACTATAAGAATCCTCTGATTCATTTTTTTATTCATGGATTGGAACTTTATATACGAAAGCATCGCGAGAGCTCAAAAGATTGGATTCATTTCACAGAACAGATTATGCGATGCGTAAGAAAATATACATAGTTGAAGATTGGTTTGAATGCTGTGGAAAGAATTAGTGGCAAATTTGAAAAATGATTTCAAATGCAATTTCGTACATATATATCAAACAATCTGCCTTCGACCGAATATCCTTCGAATATCCATCGATATTAATATAGTCGGATAAAAAAATTTATTATTTATAACAACAAAGATAATTTTACTTTATTTTATTTATTTATTAAAGAATTTTTCTGCATCCTATTCATTCAAAAGAATTTGTTCTTTTAAGCTGTCAATATAATGTGTTACCAGCATCGCTGTGAACAGCAAATATTTTCTTGCAATCTAGCTAATTAAATTATTTTTCACCAGCTAGGATGAAGTAGGATGACAACTAAATAATTTTTATAAAAGATAAATTATTAATAAGTATTAGTGTGAGTATACGTGTAGTCGCAGATATTCGCGGATACTATATAATAAATAAAAATAAAAAGATATCCAATAATATTAAATATAATTATCATTATTTTCCTCGCTCAGGAAAAATGTTTTTGTGAGACAAACCTTTAAATATAAGAACTTGCATCAGTAAAGATCAAAAGATTTTTTTTAAACTAATTCATTATAAAATACTTTAATATTGCCATGATCGGTTTTTCATATGGATACCGATGTTATAAATCAAACATGGGAATTAATGAGCCTGAAGTTTTTGCAAGTACAATATTGATGAAGCCAACACAGCTTTACATATCATTTTCACAAAAAACTATTGCTTTACAAGATGCATATGAGATGCAAATGACAGTAAAGGAAAGGATAAAATAGTTTCTTTCAGACACTGAACCTACTCGAAGAGAATTGATTTTTGTTGGAAGAAATATGAATATAACAAGATCATTGAATTGAGAACTTGAGTAGACTGGAAATTATATAAATATTACGAGAATATGGGCAGTTAAGGCTAATTGGTGGTACTGCATCTTCTAATGGTTTTAGGAAATTTATCATTTATATTGGGACAATTTAGCTATTTAATAAGTAGTGATTTAATTATTGGTTGTTTAAAGGAGCCTTGTTTTAATATTAAGGTTTTATATATTAAGTGGATTAAAAGTACAGTAAAATTAAAATTTTGAATGATCAAATGAAAAGATCATTGCAACAAAATTTTGGTGTTGGTTTGGAATTTATCACGAAAAAAAATTATTGTTATTAGATTATATAATAAATTAATTTCTAGAATTTTACATGTATAGAAAGTTTAACTATAAATTGAATAAATTGTACATAGTCTATCCTTCTTCAACAATAGTTCCATTAACTCTTTCAACAACTTCATCAATTACACCCTTTAAATTTTCTTTATTTTTTTCTCCGGTTATAAAACTAATAATTACCCATCTTTTATTATCATTAGTCCATTTAGGATAACTACCAATTTTTATATCCAAATGTTTTTCTTGTAATTCGGTTAATATAGGAGCAATAAAACTTTCTGGTTGAAAGGTTTTAACAAAAGCTCTAAAAAATTTCTCTCCTACTTTTAAATATTTTTGATAATCATCCAATAACTCACGAAATAATCTTGGTATACCGGGTAATACATGAACGTTATTATTTACTATTACTATTGGTACCCATAGTTTTGGATTTGGATAGACCACCAATGATGGTGTAGGAAATAAAGCCATACGTTTACGTGCATCAATTGCTTCTTGTGATGGTTCTTTTAACATAATTTTCAAATATGGCGTGTTAGAAGCAACATCCACCATACGATCGAGTGTTTGTTGATGAGATGCTAATTGGAGGTTAAAGGCTTTTGCAATTGTTGGATATGTTATATCATCATGTGTTGGACCTACATATCCCGGTTTTATTAGCACTATAATTTTTTGATAACCTGTTTACATATATAAAATGAATGGTACTAACCTATTCCTCCACTTGTAATTACAAAATCAAAATTTTTGCTTAGTCTTCTTACAGCTTCAATTATTGTCTAATGCAAGCATTAATAATATTATTATTGTTTATTATTTTCCAAGATAAAAAGATTAATTCAATTTACCTGTTCATCATCAGGAACAACTTCTATTCTTTTCAACTCAATTCCTAAATTAAAACAATATTTTGCTTAAAGGGAAAAAAGATATCAAAATTATTAAACGTAATTTAAATCAATCATCTTTTTAAAAAAGGATATTCTTTTTTTTGATAAAAAATGAATACCAAAATATCCTGAATTTGTATCAACAGTTTTTCCATTAAGTATCTCATCACCGATTATTAGACATGCGGAAGTTTTTGGAAATGGGAGATCTTTTAATTCGGATATTGGTGTTATTGGCAGACTAAAACTTCTGTTATCAGAGTAAGACATTTTTATGAAAATATAAAAAACAATAATATAAAGACTTGCAAATTTTTGGATTAGTATTTAACATTTTTTTAAAATTGGTGCAACAATCCATTTCAGGAATGATCACTAATTTTTAAAATCAATGAAGCATGAAATTATACATTCGTTTTTTTGTTCTTTTACAAACGTACCATACACATCTGGACCAGTGATGTGTAATGTCCGTAATTTCTATATGGCAGTTGGTCATAAAATCATCAGGCCATACTGTAAGGTGTAATTGAGTAGTTACGGCTGGTGAAACTATTCCACCAATGGAATGGTTGGGGGAAATCAAATAATTTTGTACCACATAAATATGTTTGATCCAAAATTTTTATATTTTTTTGCTATATACTGTACATTGTTCATATTTTGTCTTGATCGTGTATTTTTGACCATCTTGTATAACGTTGTATATATATTATGACGGGATTTTTTTTGAAAGAATTTTGTTTATTACTAGCCGAGAAAACTCTTTTCGCGAATCTAGAAGATTAGAATAGCTAAAATTTCATCTGACTTCACTTTATATTTATATCAAAAACATATGCGTATATATCATATTTTGCTGTTTAATTAATATTAATATTAATATTAATATTTTATTTGAGATGACTATTTTTAGTTATTATTATCATACGTTACTGAATATCTAAAATCTCCAAACAGACTATTTCTATTACTATTTCTATTATTATTACTGTCATTATTAGTGTTACTAATACCACCATTACTTTTTTTGTGAAAATTGTATAATATTATTATTTCAGCCGTCGCTAAAAACACTAAGCTCCAGGCTGCTAAATGAATGCCAGGACCAATCCGTTGTTCATCGAGACCTGGTATTAAAGCAATGATTCTAAATACCCATACAAATAACAATATATCAAATATCAGGGCGAGAGTATTAAGAATTAAAAAAAATGTTAAAAGAAATATGATCACTACATGAGGTATATTATAATGAAATGAAAAAAGAATAATGATATTTATGATTAGGGCTATTAAATACGGAGTAGAGAAAAAATCTATAAAATTAACAGTTGACACTTGAGGCTTAAAATTTTTAATTTCTTCTAACATTATTGGTAATATTTCGTTCACTGTTTTATTAATATTAATTGTATCACCACCGATTTCAGAGATAGAAGGTACTTAAAGAAAATAAAATAATATATAGACGGATCAATATCAATAATAATAATAAAAATTATATATATTAATTTTATTACTTACTTTTATCAAAGTTATGTGCTAAAGAAGGGTCGGAACAAGCATTATCAACACAATATGCATACAATGTAAATGTCATGTGTCGTTTCTTTATGACGGATTGGATTGATTCATCAAATGCATGTCTTGATAAATAAATTAGGTTTAAGCTACCAATCAACAAAATGAACAAAAGTATGCTCGATAATACTATAAGAGAAATTGTTGTAGCAACTAATGGATCTCTTTTAAACGATTTAAATATATTAATATGATTTTTACTCATTTTGAACACAGTCCCGCCGTGTGTATATATATATAAATATTAATTCGAAGGCTGTTAATATTAATGTTGTCATTTATATATCTGAAAAATCATAATAATAGTAATTATATATTAACATTAGGAAGATTGTATTGTATAATAATTATAATGTGAATGGTTTAAAAACAATACAAGATGATTTGAAATTCCAAAATATACCATAATTTCAGTTTTAAGAATGCGAAAAAGACCGAGCACAAAATATAATAATAAAAATCTATCAAGAATGACATCTGTCATAGTAACAACGAACTCCATAACTTCTTGATAATTATGAATCGGACGTAACATAGTAAGCAAATATTAATAATATATCAGGAAACTCGTTAGTAATATTTTAATAAAACATTAAAATATCAAATCTTTGATTCTTTATTTATTTAATAATTAATTGTTTTAGAATACAATTTATTAGTATTCTTTAAAAAACAATTAATATTAATATATATAATCGTTTTAATAGAATCATTAAACATATTTTTGTTGGCCACCAATTGTTTTCAATAACTGCTTTAATCCTCCTTGGCATGCTCTCAAACAATTTTATTAGGAAATTGTCTGTAATGTTATTCCATTCTTCTTGCAATGCAGACTCCAGCTCATTAATGTTTTAATATTTTTAGGGCGCCTTCTTATTCTTCTTTCCAATTCTGACCATAAGTGCTCAATTGGATTCAAGTCAGTGGACTGACTTGGCCAATTTGGTAATATTTTAATATTATTTGCAGTGTGCCAATTTGCAACAATTTTTGCTGTATATATATATGAACTGGGGTATTGTCATCTTGAAATAAATAACCATTTGCACATATAATTTGGTGAACCTAGGCTACGAAATGGCGGTTTTTAATTAATTAATATTATTATTATGTACGTTTTCGTGCTATTAACTTTTAAACGTGTGCTAGCATTTTGTCCAGGTAGTGTATATATATTAATATTAAAATACTAAAGAATCGAATTACTTGTATATATTAATATTAATATATAATCAACAATTAATATGTTTGGACATTTTCGAAAAACCGCTATCATCCACATTAATAATTAATAATTGTAATATTAATATATTAATATGTATTGTTTTGAGAATTGTTTATACCAACAATAGCATAATGGACACTCATTTTGTGCAACAGTCATTTGTATAATAGGCAGGCGGTTACACAGAGCCCGTTGCTTCT